TGGTTAATACATGAGTAAGCTGGTGGAATTCAGCTATGTGAAAGGAGAAGGTGATACTGAATTCTAGAGTTTTGATTGTAATTTAGCACGTTAATTTTGCCACTTCATTTAACCTCTAGTGCCACAGAAGAATCTCTATCAATATTAGAGTATTGGGTTAAGTCATCCAGGTACCTTCTAGTCCTATGACTTTGTGATTGTAAATAAAATATAATCTAGGTAATTGTTCAATATTAAGTCAGAAAATAAAGTTTAGTAAGCAACATAAATAACTAGGATACAATCTTAGAAGCTTGATTTTCTTACTACCATTTCACACATGTACTTCTATCTCCCTTTATGTGACTATTTTATCTTTTTGAAAAAATTAAGTGGGCTTGGCACCTGTAACTCAGTGGTTAGGGTGCCAGCCATATGCACCTGGCCAGGGCCTGCTAAACAATGACAACAATAAAAAAAAAATAGCTGGGCACTGTGGCAGGCACCTGTAGTCCCAGCTACTTGGGAGGCTGAGGCAAGAGAATCGCTTAAGCCCAAGAGTCTGAGGTTGTTGTGAACTGTGATGTCACTGTGTTCTACTGAGGGCAACATGGTGACACTGTCTCAAAAAAAAAAAAAAAAAGCAGTCTTCAAAAACAAACAGGGCAGGATTGTTTCCAGACCTTTCCATTTGCACAGTACACCTCTCACCAACCAATTTGTAGGTAATTTGAAAGAGGACACTACCAGGGCACCTGCCACTGACACTATTATAGCAGTAAGAGATGAAGTTTTATATAAATAGGAGTGTTAGCAACCGTCACAATGACATCTCATTTCACTGAAGTATTTTATTTATTTTTTGAGACAGTCTCACTCTGTTGCCCTGCGTAGAATGCCATGGCAACATCATAACTCACAGTATCCTCAAACTCTTGGGCTCAAGTGATCCTCTTGCCTCAGACTTCTAAGTCACTGGAATTACAGGCACTGGCTAGTTTCTCTATTTTTTAGTAGAGACAGGGGTCTCACTCTTGCTCAGGCTGGACTTAAACATCCTGAGCTCAAGTGATCCATGCACCTTGGCCTCTCAGTGCTAAGATTAAGCAGTGGTTCTCAACTTTCCTAATGCCATGGCCCTTTAATACAGTTCTTGTGGGTCGCAACCCACAGGTGAGAACCGCTGGATTACAGGCATGAACCACCACACCTGGCCTCACTTAAGTATTTTAATTAAGACACTGAGGGCAGTGCCTGTGGCTCAAAGGAGTAGGGCACCGGCCCCATATAACAGAGGTGGTGGGTTCAAACCCAACCCTGGCCAAAAAAAAAAAAAAAAAAAACCTGCCCCCCCCCCAAAAAAAGACAGTGAATTTAATTTTCAATTACCCATTTGATGTCCTTTATTATTGAGCTATGTCACTAAATTAGAATTTGTTCTTATCCATACATAAACTCATTTTGACTTGCTTCTCCCATTCTCAAGATGTCTAAAAAAAGAGATAGCAACAGCTTCATGTATTAAATTTAAAAATAATGTAAAATCACTGATTACTGACAATGTTTGTGTTCATCAGTAACTATGCTACTATTTTAAGGACTTAACACTTTTTTTTTTTTTTTTTTGCAGTTTTTGGCCAGGGCTGGGTTTGAACCCACCACCACTGGCATATGGGGCCAGTGCCCTACTCCTTTGAGCCACAGGAGCTGCCCAGGACTTAACATTTTTTTCATCAAAAAATCAACTTCTTACCACAGGAGAAAAAAAAATTAAAAAAAAATCAACTTCTTAAAGAGTGAAACCAACTTTTAAAATTAAAAAAAATCACGTGACCATAAAAGACCAATCACTGCTATATTATTTCAGGAAAACAATTTTGTATTAAGACCAAACACTGACAACTGTTCTTCCTGAACCAGAGTTCCTAAACAGAAATTATGTAAGGATGGTGACCATGTTATCTTTTTTTTCCCCAGAGAAGTCATGGTTTACACTTGGTGCTGGAGTAATTAATAATATGGCTCCCTTTTACACTAAAAATTCCCTAGTTTGGATAATTTACGTGGTCACCTTTATTGTAACTGACACTAAAGAAAACTTTGGTCAACATAAAATGAAAGTTGCAGTTAACTCTTTTCTTCTAACAGTCAAGTAGAGATCATGAGGAAAAGGAACTTCTCCTTATATACAAAATTAAAAACACTAAACACAAATATTTCCTTCCTCCCAGGAAGTATCACATTCATCACCATGCAAACACTATTGGACTGTTGTAATAGCAAACAGCCCAAAGTATAGTTATGAAATTACTGCAAGAGGTTCATGAATCTAAATACACCAAGCACTACCTACAGATATTTGTCTCACTTATACATGGGGTACTAAAAAAAAGTATATGCATCTTAAGAAAACTCTATATATTAAAACTATAATATTCAATTACAAGGTTGGACAACTAAAGTTTGTGAACTCATCCAAGAAAAAGTGCTACATAAAACCTCGTTGCTGAATATCACTACAGTCAACTTCAAAGTACTCCTCTTAGCCACCTAGTGTAATGATATTCAGCAATAAAGTATGCAGCAAGTTATCCAGGATGAGTTTGTGAACTTAATTGTCAAACCTTATATAACGACAGTTCTGATGGCCATTCCAGAAAGAGTTCCAAAACTGCTCTGAAGGGGTGGCGCCCGTAGCACAGTGGGTAGGGCACAGGCCACATACACCCAGGCTAGCAGGTTCGTACCTGGCCTCAGCCAGCTAAACAACAATGACACCTCAACAACAACAACAACAAACAGCTAGGCATTGTGGTGGGAGCCTGTAGTCCCAGCTACTTGGGAAGCTGAGGCTTAAGCCCATGGGTTTAAGGTTAGTGTGAGCTGTGATGCCACAACACTCTACCCAGGGCCACAGCTTGAGACTGTGTCTCAAAAACAAACAAACAAAAAGCAAAATTGCTCTTAAGGGTTAACTAGAATATTAAGCATTGAGATATGTAGCACTTTTTCTAGGATGAGTTTGTGAACTTAACTACCTGACCTTGTATATTGAGTACTATAATTTTAATAGTTTTTTCCTTTTTAAAAATATATGTGTATATTTTTGCACCCTATGTATGTAGGTGCTATTATGACTAATGAAATTAAAATCTTGGGTTGGAGCACTAAAACATGAGACAATCTGGAGCAAAAATACCAATACCAGCTATATGTTTCAGGATGAAAACCTAAAGTTCATAAATATATTCCCATAAATGAAGTGTATCTTAAAAATATAACTCACCTGATGAAAGGAAAAACAAAATGATTATCTGGGAAACTTCCACGTCCAAAGTTGAAAAAAAATAAAGGAAAAAAATGGACATAGAAATATTATTTCTTACACTGGTTATCAAAACCTTAATGTATTACCACATATGCTAATTGGATACTCTGGAAATCAGTGGTCTATAGGTATGTGTGTATTTATCTGTTTTGGGGGTCTGTAGGCTTGGGGTATTTTTCTGTTATACAAAAACTTAAGGAACAGGACCTCTAAAAGAAAACTGTTCCTGTTCTAGGCAGCGGTCCAAAATTCTAGCACATCACTGGTCCAGGTTTGACTGAAGACTTTTCATGTTTCTTTTTTCTTTTTCTTTTGAGACAGAGTCTCACTCTGCTGCCCTTGGTAGAGTGCCATCGCATCACAGCTCACAGTAACCTCAAACTCCTGGGCTTAACCTCAGCCTCCCAAGTAGCTCTGTCTACAGGCGCCTGCCACAACGCCCAGCTATTTTTTTGTTGCAGTTGTCATTGTTGTTTTTAGCTGGCCTGGGGTGGTTTGGAACCTGCCCCCATGGGTTTATGTGGCTGGCGCCATAACCACTGTGCTATAGGCTCCGAGCCTGTTTTAATGACTAAAAATCACAAAACAGTGGTAAGTTTCAGGTACTTAGAAACATTACCCTTTGAATTCTCAGAGAAAGTACCCATCATGAAGAATGCCCAATACCAACTAATATATCAGTGAGCCTATCCAATTACAGAGCCTATAAAACAGAACAATAAATATTTGTGAACATGCATTGCATATAAAAATCAGGAGACGCAACAAAAAAAAATTACCTGACTTTTATGACATAGTATTGAAATACAATAAACTGGATTTTAGTTTTCTTCACTCTCTGCTCTAGGAAAAAAAAAATCCATTATTCTCCTTCTTTTATAAGACATACTTTTTTTTTGAAACAGATATATCCTAAAAAAAGCACATCCTATGTATTTTAGTTTGGACACACACACCATAACCCAGCCAAATTATGTATTAGTATGAGCATATGGGGAGACCAGGGAGGTCAGAGGGGACCAGAAGTCAGATAAAAAATTAAATGCTGAGAGCCAATCTATCTTTTAATATAAACTTGGTTAAAAGAGGGCTTTCCTTATTAGACTAGAAATTATTTTCAAACTCTGACAGTCACTTTCAAGGACTCATCTGATGAGCCCAAGGCAGGAACTAAAGTATTAAAAATCATCAGGACACCTTATGCTAAAGAATGGCTGTAACATTTTTCAGTTAAGAGGAGAGTATCCTAAAATGATATTTTGAAAGTTCTGGATTGGTCTTTCTAGGTAATCTGTATTTTTACAGTTTGGAAAAGTGACTGGGAGGGCCTACAATTGTGTCTGCCTGGCCTCAACGCCTCCAGGACAGACATAATTGTACCTGATGGGGTGATATGAAATAGCTATTTTGTCTGTAATTACAAAGAGCGAAAGAAATGATCAGTAGCAGTATGTTTATTATTTCTTCCCCTTTTCAATCAGCCAAAAGCAATGCGGTTAATTCTGATTCAGGAAATTCAGACTCTTCACTTTCAGGGAAAAAAAAATACACACACACACATATATATATAAAATATATCTCGAGGCCTTGCAAATGGTGAATGACAAATCTGATATAAAAGCTTCTTCTTGTCCCAAAACGACAAAAATTACTTAAAAAACAAGTCTGCTAGACCTCCGATTCCCGGACTAACCTGTGGAATAAGTATGGTGAAACTGTCTAGAGAAGGAACGTGGCTGTCTCCTCCATCTTGAAATTAATCAGCATAAGGGAAAAAAAGACTGAGTATTCAGGAAGCAGAAGCCCAACCGGTTAATACTAGTTACTAAGCTATGGCGTACGTGGCAGGTACCGCCCGCAGAAGCAGAGACCCTTAAGCTTTTTTTTTTTTTTTTCCCCTAGGAAGTTAAGGGCCGGGTAGCTGGCGGAAATTAACTTGAAAATAATTTGGCCCAACTCCCACCCCTACCCAGGGAAAAAAACAACAAACAAGCAACGGCTTTTCCCTCCCGTTTTCCCTCCGGCTTTTCCCTCCCGGAGGGGCAGCGGGAGAGGAGGGAATCCTTCCAGGGATATCTGGTAAAGGATACGCCAGAGTTATTGGATAAAGCGAGTAAACCACGTTTGCCTCAAATCCTCAGGGAAAATGTCATCGCGGCCCCAGGGAGCGCCTAATTGGTAATTCCCTGCAGAAGAGTTCAAAATGGGGTTTTGCAAATTCTGAGAAATCTAAAGGCCCAGGAGTTCCTAGCTTCTGGCTTAGGGCAGCCTGATTTTTTTCCTCTTTTCCCAAACCCGAGCCCACCACATAAAACGCGGAGAGATGAGAAAAGTCTCCCGAGACCAGAGGAGTAAAAAACCTGAGATCGTCTAAGATTCTCACGCCTCAGGCAGTTAACTAGGAAATCGCCTTGCCTGATTTCCTACGGCTCTAGAAGGCCAGGACCGCAGCTCTCGCGGCCATGGAGGAGAACTACTACCCTCTTCCTTCCCCTTCTTCAAAGAACCCATTCACTATACCACCCAACTAAAATGGCAGCGGCGACTATGCCACGAAGCCCCCAGCAGTAACGGGCCTGGGGGCCGGAGGCAGCGCTGAGCCTCCGCCACGACGCGTCACTTGGGCCATTTTGAGAGAACGCGGCAGCCGCGGCTCCTGTTTTCCTTTCGTTCTATACCCATTTCTCACAGGATTCCCAAGTCTTCACTTACTCAGTTTTAGGATCAGGATCCGACTTGGTCGGTTCGGCCGCCACCGCCGAGGCTGCTCCGCGCCTCCCTTGCCGCCGCTTTCAAGCCCGTCTCCGAGAAATCGCTGGTTGAGACCCGCCTCTAACCCAGCACCTGCTCGGAGACGTTGCTCAGGCAGCCATTATCTTCCCCATTGTTACCAAGCAGCAACAGGAAACGACTGCCCACAACAGGAAGTGATGATGCCGCGTCGGCGCCGCAGCCCCACTCCCAGCCTGTTAGCCAATCCCAGTCGATTCCTCGAAAAGCCTCGGAGGGAGGAGGAAGAGGACGGCCGAGGACGCGGCTAGGCGGGCCACGGTTTGGAAAAGGAAAGCGGCTGCGACGCCCACCACGTGACAGGCCCCACCCTCCTCCGCCATTTTGAATTATGCCGAGATATTGGCGTTCTGAGAATTGTGGGAATCTTTGCTTTCCCATTTTGAAAGCTGAAGGACGTCACCATCTGACTCCTTGAAGCTTTTTTTCAGAGAGCGAGAAATTTGATATTAGTCTTACCTGGCATGGATTCATGCAATCAGGCCAGCTCAGTTAATACAGCATTCTACTTTTCATTCAAGATATTTATTGAGCGACAACTGTATGTCAACAGAGATTTTAATAGAGACCAAAATTAAATAGGATATTAAATAAGAAATTAAAATAGATAAAAATTCCAGTTCTCATAGATTTTTATAATGTACTAAGGGCAAGGGACAATTTTTTTAAAAAAAACAACTATATATCACGTGATAAAACTAGGGAGAAAAATCAAGGAAGAGAGGGACGGGAGAGTGCACTGTAGGGACAAACGGGGACTGTTACATTTAGAAGAGTAGGAAGAAACTATCTCTTTGAGGCCGTAAACCTAAAAAGTACTTTGAAAATAGGTCGGTAAGTGTAAAAGGGTGGGAAAATCTGATAATGTTGGAATTTGCAAAACGCCAGTTAAGAAACGCCTTTCTTAAACCGTAAAGCCTGAAAGAATCGAGGGAATGCGCCACACAGCATGCCACGCCCATTGTCACAGTTAAAGGAAAACAACCCTACTCAAGTTTTTAGGGTGTCCTTTGTTTCTTTTCCCATTTTTCTGTTTTGTGATAACATGCCAGCAATGCTGCCTTTCTTACTATTTTTCCAAAAAACGTAACTTATTCCCACCTCACCTACTTTAGCCAGACTGGAATATTTTCCTTTCATATCTTTGCTTTCAAAGCCTCGTAATTATCACCTCCCTAGAGAAGCCTTTTCTGACCATCCTACCTAAAATAACGACTTCCCCCAACCCTTTACCTTACCTGCTTAATTTTCTGTAAAGCATTTACTCCGAAAAATATGTTATTATTTTGAGCAGTAAACCTGTATTTCGTTTCTTAGGGTCCCCCAAAGAACAGATAGGAAGCCCTCAAATGTATTCTGAGAGAATTTCCCCCCCTCAGCATGATGGACGTTATATTAGCCTGGAATGTAAGTAAAATATTTCACTTTAAGCAATTAATACTATTAATAACTATTCAGCTTCCCAGCAGGTTCACTGATATTGTCATTTTCCATAGTGTGATACATGATTTAGGTGTTGTGTCTCAACTCGGTTTTTGTTATTTTACATAATCGTGTACTAGAATACTCGTGTTTTCCTAGAATGTGTACACTGAATTTTTCAAGGGTCTGTAATTTTCATTAAGCCTAATATTCAGGTTATGGCAAAATATTACCCACTTCTTAATATATTTTTGAGGCATATGTGGCTTAATGTAGAATATAAAATCATAAAAGTGTAAGAAAATATAGTTTGGGGAATGCAGAAGAACTTTCTAAACATGATACAAAATCCATGAAGGGAAAGACTGATAAAGACAACTTCACAAATAAAAGTAAAGCTTCTGCACGTCAAATTACAAGGCTACAAAAGTTAAAAGACAAATGACAAACTGAAAAAAAATTTCAACATGGCATATGACATCTAAGGAGTGCTATCTTTATAATAAAACACAAATGACACCTGGCAAAAATGCTACATATAAGATAAACACATATGACTAATATCACTATTCTATAAAGAGCTATTATAAATTAATTTTTTTAAGAGAGAGGGTCTCACTTTGTTGCCCTCAGTGGAGTGCTTTGATGTCACAGCTCACAGCAACCTCCATCTCTTGGGCTTAGATGATTCTCTTGTCTCAGCCTTTGGAGTAGCTGGGACTACAGGCACCAGCCACAATGCCTGGTTATTTTTTGTTGCAGTTTGGCCAGGCTGGGTTCGAACCTGCCACCCTCTGTATATGGGGCCGTTGGCCTACTCACTGAGCCAGAGGCACCACCCTATAAATTAATTTTTTAAAAGATAAATGCCCCATGTTTAAAATGTGCAAAAGACGTGAATAGATAATTCAAAAAAGGAGGAAACACTTGACCGACACACACACAAAAATCAAACTCACTTGCAATCAAAAATGAAATAAAAAACAATGAATTCTCTCTTTGCCTATTAGAATGTCAAAGATTTAAAAATTGATAACATTAGGTATTGATAAAGATCCTATGAAGTGGATAAAAGAACAAGAATTTCACAATCTTCCTTTAATTTCAACAAAATGTATTGATCGTCTACTATGGCTGGTTGCTGGGGATATATCACTAGCTATATCAATAAATCATAGAATGGAAGATCCTGATGTGTGGCAAGACAGAAGTTGGACAGATACTTAAATGTAAGGAACATTACAAAGGAGACATGCAGGTCCAATGCAGAGTATATAAAAGGAACATTTAACCAAAAGAAGCTGCCATTTTTGAGGCCTGAAGGAAGAATAATGGTTCAGAGTGGGAAGAATAGGAGGGAGTAACCCTGGGAGAGGGAATAACTTGTACACATTCTCTGGAGTGAGAAAGGGGAGACTGGGAAAGTCAAAGAATTTTCTCTAGCAAATACTCTATTTTATTCTCTTCATAGCATTTACCAGAATGGAATTTACATTGTTTATTGATTTTATTTATATGTTTATAATTTGTCATTCTTTCCACTGTCCCCCCACCCTGAAGGAGGGTAAACTCCATTAGAACTGAGGCTTTGCCCCACCTTTTCATTGCTGTAATTTCCTAACCTAAAATATCTAATGGGCACTTAATCAATGTTTCTTGAATGATTCAGCAAATTAGCTTGCAGTTCAAATTAGAGATTTTGGATCTTATCCTAAGAGCAATAGGAAGTTGTTGAAGAGCTTTAGAAAGAACAGTCGTATGAGCTGATGAGAAGTTTTGGTTTTTTTTAAAGGTCTTTAAGTCCGCAATTGGCTGCTATATGTTTGAAACTGCACTTTTCTTTATAGTGGATAACCTCAATGTTTTAAGAGTCCAGTCCTCCTTTATCTTTAAGAAACTTGAATGGTTTTGTTTTTAAATAAAGACACCCACAAAATATGTTTTTTTAGTTTAGATATTGCCTCTAATGTCAGTAAAACTGTTTTTTATCTTTTGAATCAGAATCACCACCCCAAATCAATTTAACCAAAGAACTAATGTCTGCCTCTTGGTTCTTGGAGGTTCCGTTTTGCCAAAGTTCATTCCTTTAGTAATTGACAATAAAATTCAAGATATGAGTGAATTCTGCATATTTTTTTCTGTTTGCAAAAGAAATAGCAAGATTGAGACAAGTGAAAGATAATCAGTAATTCATCATTCATTCAGTTAAGTCATTCATTCAACAAATACTTATTGTGGGCTGAAGCTCTTTGCTAGGCCCTGGGGGTATAGATATAAAAGATATAATCTTTGTCTGAGGTTCACAAACCAGGAGAAGAGATGCATCCTGGAAGGATGTAGTTTCATCTACCACCATTTTTTTTTTAAAGTAAAAATTACCTAAAACTGATGCATAGATTCTATTGTAGGTTGCTCAGGTAGCACTCTTTATGAAGTCTCGTTCACAAGTTTGTATTTATAGAATGTCAGCGGTCTTAAAAATAAATGAAAGATTAGAGAGTAAAGCAACAAAGTATAAGAGTAAAGCTCTTTTATTCCTTTCCTTCTGTACAAAGTATTTTTAACCTAAAAGTCTTTAAAACAGCACCTTGTATTTTCACTTTAGGATGAATAGAAAAGATTACAATCTTTTGTTTCTGGCAGCACAATGTCTTGTTGATACTGACATAGT